CCACATGCCAGCCAGCCCCGCCCCCTGGTGGGCTGAGCTGGCCACACACATAAATAAATAAATAAATAAATAAATAAATAAATAAAAATAAAATCAATTTCTCTAAAAGAAAACTATAGAAAAAGTAGATTAGTAATACGGTGAGCTATTATTCCAAGTAATTTTATGAAAGAGGATAATCAAAGGTAACCATCTATCCTTTCTAGTATTACTATGGCACTTCTAAGTTCAGATAATTTTATTTACTTTATTAAAAAAAGTTGAAAGATTGCTACTGTACATTGCATTTTCATTATACCTGTTTCACCTCAGAAAATCTTACTGTGAACCTCCGGGCTATGCAAGGCTGCCTGCAGGTACTCAGGTGCAAATTAACCAGAAACTGAAACAAAAGCCCCAGAAATGTAGTTTGAGTTGTGGTCCCAATCACTCTAAAAGCATTATTTTGTGTCAGACAATAAATTTGTTTACCAAACTGAATGTGGTCATTCAATTAAAAAAAAAAAAAAGAAAAGAAAATTTTACTGTGAGGGCACAGTGAGGGCAAGCAGGTAGCTGTGCTATGACCCAGCTGCTCAGAAGTCTGGGGCAAGAGGATAGGAAGTTCAGGGGCAGCTTGTGTGGTTCGGTGGGCCCTGTCTCAAAAGACAGAATGAAGAATTAAAAAGTAAAAGGCACAGTACACCGTACTTAGAGCCCACTAGTTAGTATATTACAATCATTATCATGCAAACTTGTAATTTACCTAGTTATGGAAGATTTGAAATGCAGGGCTGGTGAGATGGCTCAGTGGTCTAAAGCACCTACTTAGAACAAGCTTAGCACAGGGACTGCAGTTCAATCCCCCAGCACCACATGCCAGCCAGCCCCGCCCCCTGGTGGGCTGAGCTGGCCACACACACACACACACACATAAATAATAAATAAAATTTAAAAAAAAAAAAGAAATGCAGTGTGTATTTGCCATGGTGACTAGGACTTTCAAACATTTTAAATAAAAGCTTTGTGCCCTTTATTTATACATAAGTCATGTGTACATATCATTTTTATGACTTATTTAAAGTAAATTCAAATTTGTCACTTTTGTTTGGTATTTGAAAGTTAAAATGATTGTTCTAAATTCACATTTTTAACTTTTTGTAACTTATGGAGCTTAGGCTTCACTGTGAAATAAAAACATATAGCTATTATTTTTTAATAACAAGTCTATTTTAAATTACAGATTTAATGATTTCCTTTTCTCTTGTTGCTAGCCAGTCTCCGTTGGAGGGCTGATCGTAAACCTTATTGGTATCTGTGCCTTTAGCCATGCCCATAGCCACAGCCATGGAGCTTCGCAAGGAGGCTGTCACTCGTCTGATCACAGCCACTCACACCACACTCATGGACACAGTGACCATGGGCATGGTCACAGCCACGGAGCCTCGGGCGGAGGCATGAATGCTAACATGAGGGGTGAGTCCTTGCAAAGCACTGCCTTGCCTTTCGCCTGTGTTCTCAATTGATACTGTTTGGTTTTATTAAATACTGACTGTCTTGTACAGTTGCATTTTTAAAAAGCAATATGTGTTAGTCGGCATGGTGGCATGTGCCTGTGATCCCAGCACAAAGGAGGCTGAGACAGGAGGATGGCAAATTTCAAGCCAACCTGTGCCACATAGCAAGTTCAATACTAGCTTGTACTACATGGTTAAACCCTTTCTCAAAAAAAAAAAAAAAAAAAAAAAATAGCCCAAAAATAGTTCTAAAGTCATATGCTGTTTAAAAATACACATGCTTGTAAAAGAAAATGAAATATTACTTGACCTTAAAAAATGAAGGAAATTCTGGATTATTCAACAACATGGATAAACCTTGAGGAGATCTTGGTAAGTGAAATAAACTTGTCACTGAAAAGTAGATGCCATGTGATTCCACTAACGTGATGACATTTGTAGAATCAAGTCATGGAGCAGTGGTGACTCGAGAGGAAACACTGGAGGTTGCTAGTGAGCAGGCTACAGTTTCAGTAAGCAAGGTCAGCTCTGGAGACCTACTGTATAACATTGTAAGCACCAAGGATGTGTGATGTCATTAAGAAGATACAGCTCATCTTAAGTAGTCTCACCACAGCAAGGAAAAAAATAAAATGAAGGGGCTGGCTATGTAGTTCAGTGGGGCAGTGCTTGCCCAGCAAGCATAAGGGCCCAGGCTTGGTGAGGAGAAGAAGGAGAGAGGCAAGTAGCAGGAGAGGGAGGGAGGAAGAGAGGGACAGAGGAGGGAGGATGCATTTGTTTATAAATTCCTTTTCTCAATAAATTATTGTAATTGTAGTCCTTGTGTTTTGTGATCCTGAGGAATAATCAGACCCTCGAGCTTGCCTAGCAGACTAGCACCTCTGCCCCTGAGCTACCATGTTAGCCCCAGCGGAATTGCTTCCACAGTGACAGCTGGATAAATACTGAGTGCAGAGAAAGACTGAAGTACACCGTTATGAACTCTCACTAAAAAGGGAAGGGGATCTTGTACTATAAAAAAATATGGTGTTTATTAATCTCTTTTTCCTGTTTGATACAGAGAACTTGTGTTAGTCAAAAACTGATTCAAGCTTGAGTTTTTTGATGCCTTTCCAGACAATCCAGAATCTTAAAACTCACCGCCCTGTAGCCTTAGCTTGCCCTCATCCTTTTTACTGTGCTCAGCATACCTTGAAACTGTGACCCTGTCTTAATCATTTTGACTTACCTGCCATGGTGCCTAGTAGGTACCCAGCAATACTGGTAGAATAGATAAAATAATTAAATTAGATGCCCTTTAATTTTAATATTATGTATTTTATCTGTAGGTGTATTTCTGCATGTTTTGGCAGACACACTTGGCAGCATTGGTGTGATCGTGTCTACAGTTCTGATAGAGCAGTTCGGGTGGTTTGTTGCTGATCCCCTCTGTTCTCTTTTTATCGCTGTATTAATATTTCTCAGTGTTATTCCACTGATTAAAGATGCCTGTCAAGTTCTGCTTCTAAGGCTGCCACCAGAACATGAGAAAGAACTACACACTGCTTTAGAAAAGGTACTGTATGAAATTTTTTCTTTAAAAATGGCATTCATGGGGCCGGGAAGTTAGCTCAGTAGAATAAGTGCTTGCCTGCCAAGGCCCTTGTGCAGTTCAATCCCCGGTTCTGCAAAAAAAAATAAAAATTAAAATGGCATTCATAGCAGGGAATATAGCTCAGCGACACAGTGCCTACCTGGCAAGCACGAGGTGCTGACTTCAAGTCCTGGGACCAAAAAATAAAAATGGCATTCAAAATTAAGTTGACCAGGGCTGGTGAGATGGCTCAGTGGTCTAAAGCACCTACTTAGAACAAGCTTAGCAAAGCACAGGGACTGCGGT